AAAGTTACACGCCATCTATGGGTCAAGTTTTAAAGAGGTATTGTCGTAATTATAACTGGATTAAAGTGTTCAAATAAAATACTCTTCTTGTCGGCAACTTAATTTTAACAGAAAATCACTAAAAACAAGCTAATTAAACAAGCTTATTGCATGTAATATATTTTTAAACCTTTAAAATGGTAGTTACGGTCGTTAGGCCATTATTAATGTCGAACACTTCTACTAGGAATTCTTTTCCTTTTTTATGTTAAATCTAAGGACAATACCTCATTTTTTCAGTGAATAAATAATACAACAGTCAAACAAAAAAAATTTTTAGATTTATTTTCCCTTTTTGATCATTAGAATTTCAAGGATCGTCCGAATTTCATTATCACTGTACCACTTGCAACAACGCACGAGCTTTATCCAATTTATGAAAAAAATCGCAGAAGCTTTTGGACGCAATCTCCACCAGTTAATTTCATTATTACGAGCCTCTCCCGTTATTTCATTATTTCTAAACGCAACTTTTTACGTAAATCCGATTTTCATAATCATGTTTGTGCAGGATTCAACGTACACAATACTACGTAAACACACTTATAGCTCGTGCGGAATACTCGAGGCTTTAGTACAGTTCATAACTCGAAACTTTTTTCTCAATATGCGTGCATGCCGAGTCGCTCGGCTCGCAAGCGGCTTAACAATTTATACCATTCCCAGAGCTAGCTTAGGGCACGCTGAAATAATCATTGCATTCAGTCGAACATTCCGATGCAGTAGCCCTCGGACTCGTGCGCGAGAGTGCAACACCTGCGAGATAATGTACGACTCGTGTTACTCTCCCTCTCGATCGGCTTTCGGCGCCCGCTCAGCGCGGGTATATATAGTGCATCCGAGCATCCGAGCGTCTGGCTCATTTCCAAGCGCATCGTAAAATCGTTTGTTACACAGCGTGTGTGCGCGTGAAAAAACGCATGCCCGCGTATGGATATAGCTGCTTTGTTTACGCGAGTGCGAGCTCTCTGCGAGCCACGCGCCGCGCGTATAAAACTGCCATTCCGGATAAAATCCATGTAGTTGGAGCGTGAGTTCGGCTGCCACTGCTGTTTTTTCTCTTTTTCTTTTTCTTACATCTCTCTCTTTCTTTATTGCGTGCATCGTGCAGCCATATGGCTAAAATGCACGGGCGTGCTCGCCCGATTTTTCTCTGCATGGCACTCATACGTACAACGCGAGCGCCACATGACTCTCGCTGAAAAAGGGACGAAAATTGTTTTTCTTTTACTTAGTCACGCGTGGTTTGCCGCGCATTATACCGTACACACGCCCGCCCCTTGATGTCGCTGAAAGACAGAGTATGCGACGCTAAACTGATTATTACTCTCTCGCACGTTGCTCTTCTCTTTTTTTTTTGCTCGTTCGGTGCATCGTTATAAATTGAGTGTTTACCTACGACGGAGTTTTGATATTGTTAGAGGAATCGCGAGGATAGACTGATGCGTGTAAGCTTTGTCGTGTACGAGCAACGAGCTACATTTAGACCACCGCGACTGCGTGGCATCTCTCATTATTTGCTATTCAACTCTGCTGCGCCACGCACTGCTCAATTTGCAAAGTAAAATTACAGTGCGTATACGAACAAAAAAAAACTGATCTTTGGGAACAAAGCCTTATGGGATGCATCATCAAAAGTACCAAAGTAAAAGTTCCGTGGTAGAAATGTTCAACATTTCATGGTTAGCTTTTGGCAAAGGAAAAATTTCTGCATAACGGGTTTAACATAATACACTCATCAGAAGTATAAAGATTATTTGATTCATACATTTTTTTTACTTTACCACATGCAGATTTACAAATAATAGTACTCGCCATCTAGTGGTAGAGGTTGAAAAGAGTATAATTAAAATTTGTGCGTACGCTGAGAAAAAAATTCATTGATTCAATGAAAATTTAATTAAACACAATCTTTTTTTTCTTTAGTTTCATGAAATTTTGGTAAAAACAACTAAATATTTTGTTGGATGAAATAAAAAAAGATTATTTCAATGAAATTATTTCATAGATTGTATTTAATTAAATTATCATTGAATCAATGAATTTTTTTTCTCAGTGTATAATTAAACTACATTTTTTGATACAATGCAAGTGTTATTTTCAGGCCCCTTAAAATGCATTAAATTTTAACAGATAATTGGTAAAAAAATCAGTTAATTGTCTACACGGTAATTGTACAAGTGATACGCTCATAATTAAAAATAAACGAAAATTGTTAAGAATTTTCTGTCAACAAACTATGCACCCCTCGCGGTTAAAACTGCATTCCTCGCTCGATTATTTGCCCGATTCCGAGCGCGAAGCTAAATTTTTACGCATCAAATCACCGCTGAAATGCTTCGTCGCGGCGTTTTATGCGGCGTGCTCTGATCGCGCGGCCCGGATTTAGCCTAATGAAGTCGTCTCGTAATTGGCCGAGCGATAAATTTTTCCCTCGTTCCAACCGGAAAAATTAGTAACTTAAGAGTTTTTTTCCCTCTCCTTTCTCTTTACTCTCCGCGTACGCTGGGATTAGGGTTTGGGAGTGGGATTTCAAAGCCCGCGCGTATAGAGCATAAATCGTACGGGGTTAGTGGGCTCCTTCTACCTCTGTTCGTTTTTTCTTGCCTCGTTCTTCGCACTCGAGGATCTCACCACCGAATTTATGCTTCGCTTATAATTGCGACGCGCGTATCGATGATCTTCCTAATTGGAAAAATAAATAAACGAATAGATAAGTGAAAGAAGCGCTCAAAAAATTGACAACAAGTTCATTATACAGTCGACTAGAAAATTGAACGTATCGCCCGCGGACGAGAACTTTGCTTCACTACTCTATATACTACTACGCTGCATCGCACTAATGAAGGACTTGATATTTACGAGCTGGTGTACTTTCGTTCTCGGGCTGGGAGCTTTTGTTTATAGCAGCTCGCCTGGCGGCCACGAAATCAAATAAAATTACCTTAATCAAGTTATACCATGCACGCGGCACAAAACAGTGCAGCCTTGTCTGCTGCCCATTCCGATCGAGTATAGCGAGGTCAAAAAGAGATATATAGGTAACGGGGCGAATTGACAAATCCAATTCGAGCTCGATATATGTACGTACGTATGTGCAATGCACTAATACTCGTGCGGCGTAATGTGTTGCATATATAAATGGTCGCTGCGCGTATACATATACCAGTGCATTTCGCCTATAGCTATATTTAGCCGAAAACTTGGAAGGTGCGGGGTGGGGTGGGAGAAAGTCGCCTAAACACAAAACCTGCAGTACACACGTGTACACGTGGTTCGTTGACTAACGAGCTGAAATTTCACAAATTTGCATAGGATAAAGAGGGAGCGAGCGCGAGGGTGGTAATACGATTTTGATGCTGCGCGCATAGCTAGGCTATACATATACCTGCGTTATTATTAAATGCACTTGCTCAAATGACGATGATGAATTATACGCGCGGGCCGCGATGAAATTTATGTGTGCGTGAGGCGCCGCATCAACGCGCCTACGACTCTCTCTCGCGTGCCAGGATACACACGCGCACTGGCGCTCGTTATTATATCGTGGGTGTATATGTAGCGAAACACTTGAGAATTTACACTGACTCAATTTACAGCAATACCGTCATCATCGTCATCGTCGTCGTTCTAATTAACCGCTCAAAGCGATACTCTCGCGCGCGTGTTGGCGCAAAACGAGAGAGTATATGCGTGGAAAAAAAAATTCTATTCGCGAATAGATTATACCGAGTAGGTGTGTGTGTGTGAGAGTGTATACGTAGCCGCTCAACGCATACATTATGTATACAGATACACAATCATAAATCCTGACGGAAAAAGGTCGTGTGTTCTCTTGCTACCGGCGCTGCTACTACTGCTCCTGCTACTGCCGCTGTCTCGCGACGTCGACGGAATACATATTATACGTATATCGTATACACTCATGGATGACATATCCTCGGCAATACGTTCACCATTTCAAGCTGTATTTTTGCCGCTTCCACGCTCATACACATACACAGACTTACGGGCACGCGCGTGTGTGTATAAGTAGAGCCCTCAAGTGTGCTCTGCCTGTGCGTCGTGTGTGCTTGAAAGAAATGAAATGTTTTCACTCTTCGAGCCAGCCAAGGACTGGTATATTTTCTCGGGGTCGACTTGTTTCTCTATCGATTATTTATTTGTTTATTTTTACGTATTTATTTATTTTTTCTTACTCTAACTTTTTGGGTCAGTAGAACAAGTTCGCAGATCATGATTTGGTAATGAAAATCGCGATTGAAATTTTCCTCACTTGATGTGTGTAATTAATAAATATCCATTGAAATCCTAAATAAGTTAGGAAACGCATGAACATAAAACATTTTGTCAGGTATTTTTTCATAGATATTTGTGGGTTTAAGAACAACAAAATCGCGTTTTTTTGTATATGACTACGTATCCCATGTTGATAATTGCCAACATCATTCAACGCTTTTTTCTGAGTCTTTTTTGAGTTTTGAAACATCGAATACTCGAAGTTAAATGAGCTAAGGTTCGATAAGCTCAATTAATTATTACACGAAATCGATCAACTTATTGGAAAAATGTTGTAGTATAAATGAGTTTTAAAATCGTTAAAAAAATAAGTAAATTTTTTCAGATTTATTTGTATCATTTTAAGATATAGGATAAGGACAAGATTTTTAAAAATTTTAAATGTTTTTAAAAAAAATACAACCAAGGCTTGTTATTATATAAGTTTATGTACTAAAGATGAAGTTTTTTACACTCATGACAAAACAGATAAGAGTTGAAAATACTCTAAAATATATTCAAAATTGTAAGATATTTGGGCCAAAAGTATTCAAACATTAAGATACTCTTATAAATGTACATCTATTAAGTTCAAATGTCTTGAGAATAAGCTTATTTTTCCACATGTTATTACAATCTTATAAATAATTAAATATGTATTGAATTTACGTGAACTTTCAGGTTATCGTTGCGACGAAATAATTTGTAACAAATTCCACATTCAAAGGGTTTTCTACGCATATGTACTGCATTTATATGAGATTTGATGTGATCCTTGAGTCTAAATGATTTCTGACATACATCACACTCATAAGGTTTGATACATTCATGCACTGAATTTATGTGAGATTTGAGGGTACTTTTTTGATTAAATGATATGTGTCAAATCTCACATTCCAACTTTTCGATACGATCATGAACTACATTAATGTGCTTATTGACGTAAGCTTTGGATGAAAATAATTTGTGACATATACCACAATCAAAGGCTTTGATCCGATCATGTACTGTATTTATGTGATTTTTGAGATTATACTTGCGGCTATGTGAATTACGACAAATGTCACATTCAAAGGATTTGCTCCGATTATGTACCTCATCTATGTGAGATTTGAGGCTACTTTTTTGTCCAAATGATTTGTGACAAATATCACATTCAAAGAGTTTGCTACGATAATGTACAGTCATTCTATGTCTTTGCAGATGATACTTAGATCCGTATGATTTATGGCAAATATCACATTCAAAGGGTTTGCTCCGATTGTGTATTGTGTTCACATGACGTTGAAGGTGTGGTTTTTGACCAAATGATTTCTGACAAATATCGCATTCGAAGCGTTTAATCAGATTATGTTTAGTATTTATGTGATCTTTTAGAGTATATTTTAGTCCAAATGATTTATGGCAAATATCACATTCAAAGGGTTTGCTCCGAATGTGTACTGTATTTATATGTTTCTTGAGATTATCCTTGTAACCAAATGATTTGTGACAAATTCCACACTCGAAGGGTTTGCACCGATTGTGTACTGTGTTCACATGACGTTTGAGGTGTGGTTTTTGACCAAATGATTTGTGACAAATCTCACACTCGAAGGGTTTGATACGATGATGTACTGCATTTACATGAGTTCTGAGGTTATTTTTGCCGGAAAATGGTACATTATCAAATTTACATTTATACAGTCTGGTTCTTTCAAATATTGAATTTGTATGCTTTTCAAAACTTTCTTTTCTTTTATCAGTTTTCTGACAAGTTTTTCTTGTACATAATGATTTCTTTTGAACAGTTCTCTCAAAAAATTTTAGCATATTATTACGTTTAGGTGGATTCGAACAAAGATTAACATTTAATTGGCAATTACTATCATAATTGAATCCTTTTGTTATCAAAATTATTGGGCTCTTTTCATTAATATCTTTAATAGGATTTTTGTTTTTTATATTTACACTAGATTGAAAACTTTGATCCTCAGTTTTGCAGACAGTTGTCGATAGAAAAGACAGATCAAATTTTACGTATTTGCACTCAATATCTATGAATATTTTTTCATCTAACCTCTCCCGTAATACCACAGCATCGTTTACGTATTTTGTCTGAAATCAAAATTGTGAGATAGTTTCCAATAGCCAATCGAAGGAACATAATTCTTATAACTGAGCTTACCGATGATTTATGAAATGGTAATGTTTCCAAATTTTCGGCTTTGCAAGAATCCACCAAATCGGAAACGTAATTGTCACCTGCATTCGACCAAGTATCACTAGGCTCTTCCTTCACGCTAACAAAAAAATCGAACATAATAAGAAATTGCTCAAAAAATTATCTTGTCAGTACAACACGTAAAAATCATACCTAACTACGTAACTATTGTTTTCCATAACCTCCTTGGTTGTATGTACTCACTGAAATTTTGCACGATGTACACTAAGAAAATATTTGAGGTTAAACACTCCGAGTATCCAACACTGTATTTCGATTTCAGATAAATATAACCCGATAAAATATTTGAGGTTAAAGTATTCTCAGTAGCCAACGCCGTACCTCAATTACACCACAATTGCGATTTCATAATATCTATAGATGAAATATATAAATAAAAATACGATATAATAATTCAAGGATATAATTTTTAAACAATCAAGTCACTAAAGATTTCAATTTCTTACTGGCGAGTGAAAACAACAGTCGTATGTATTTTAACGTTGATCTAGCCACTGTGATAGCTCGCTTGCAAATCCCCCTCCTCCCTCTATCCTGACGCATGCATACACAGTTACAATGTGCATGCATGTCGCTTAAATTCTGATAAATTCTTCCAGTAAATTTTTCTACTAATATTCTAAAAGATGCTGATTTTATGCTTTAACTCAAGTTTGTATGAATAATTTTACAAACTATCAAGGCGAAAAATTTAAGGCTAAAATTTTGTTTAAAATTGTTGTCGTCAAACACATGAGGTGAACGCAAACATTGATAAATGCGTGAACTATGGAAATTTTGATACGTATATGTTATCTAAGATTACGCAAAAATTCAGTAAATTAAAATTTTAATTGTAACTTCTGTTGATTATCATTAAAAAATAAATATTTAACAATCATTCAAAAAATACGTGCATTTTTTTAGAATTTATTTTAATGAATGGATTTTTCCAAATTTGGTTCTAATATCCCAAATTCCTGATTATATTTCATAAAATTATGCAAAAATTCACATGTTATCTTTAACTCTGTTCTTTAGACAATATTTTTTTAATGATTTTATGGTTGTCGAGCAAAAATTAATGGTATTTGTGGATTGATTTAAGACTTGCCAAAAGTTACTATTTCAATGTAATTTTTTCGACTCTTATAGTAGATTTTTCTTTAACTATTTTTCCTTGATGTCCCCAACAAGAAAAAAGTTTTAAATGATTTTAAATGAGCCAATTATGGAATGTACTGAAGCATAAAAATAGCTGTAGAGACTAAATACCCATCAAAATTTCCATTTCTCACGCATATTTCTACATTTCCAGAATATCAAAGAACAACCTCGAAGGACTATTTAACGTTGAATTTTAATCGCGATTTTAACCCCGAATTAAAAGGATATTTTTATAGAATCACCTATGTATGTAATTATGTCGTCAAGCGTGTACTGTAAGAAGTACAATAATACAAATCTGCGAGCAGAATATCGTAGCGCAACTGTATTCACCTAGTACGTATACAAAACACGAATCTTATATCGATTGACCATCGTTTATATAGAATATAGTGCAGGATAATATAGAGTCGGAAAGTTGCCTCCGCACACAAGCGATCCTCTGCCGTGCGCCGCTCGAGTTTATATTTGCGATACACACGCGCACATGTACGTTATATATACCCAGACCGTAAACGTAAATCATGCTAAAACCGAATGCTCCTCTCGCTGCTACTGCTGCTGCGCTTTATATATGCCTCATGCAAAGGATCGCTCGAGTGTACCGATTGTATCGGTATAAATGTGCACGCATATATATAAAGTATATACGTTCAAGGTATAGGCGATCAGAGCTCTTATACATAAAGATGGATTGATTTTCTTGCCGCCAATAAACGAGCTTTACATCCTATATGGAAACTATTCGGCCCAAGGAAAAGTCATCGATTTCCAGATATTATCAATCTCTCTCCGAGAGTTCTCGTGTTCGGCCGTTCTTGATTTCGTTCCAATTCCTTCCAAACTTTTTTTTCTAATGCGTTTTTCGAGCGATCTTAAATGCCGATCGCGCGCGAGACTGAGCTTAATGTCCATCATATATTTGTACGATGTTCATGGGCCACGTGTGCAAAATCATCGTAAAACTTTGCAAATAATTAATCGATCGGGCTCGATATAAAATTTCACGAATTCGTTCATATAAATAGTCCTATGGTATCGTGTGTAATACATCTGAGAGTCTACTTTTACCGGCTGCTCCGTTTTCATATACTTTTCTTCGTTAAATCGATAAAGGGACGTGACTCGAGTCGCGGGTTATAACCGCCTCGATGAGTACACGTAGTGCCTTTATATACACCCCCGTACATACGGATGATTGTCTTTCCTCGAGAGCGTTAAAACGGCGAGACATATAATATATTGGCGAAATTTTTCTCTCTTCGCTCTCAAGATCACCTTCGTCGATTGGTGTACGAGGCGTTAGCGAAACGATAAAAAAAAGCGCACGTATAGTGAGAAACTTCGAAACTAATCGACGGGTTTGTGAAAATCAAATGGATCGTGATGATACGTCTACCAGATACTATGATTGCCGAAACTTCGACATTGTTTAAAAAACATACGAACAAACAAAACGAAAAAAGGGAAAAATTCAATTTCGCTCTGTAGCTATTCAAAAAGTTCATTGGTGCACGCGTTGCGAAGAAACTCGATACGATCGGGCACGGAGCGCGTGCAATCGACTATATAGCATCGAATTCGTTCGCGATCGCAATTCGTTTGACCGGGAAAAACAATATTTAGCATACCATACGCGCGTGCACTCGTGACTTTGACAATTACATCGAATCGCAAAGATTTCTCTTTGGTATTTGCGCCCAGTTATAAATGCATCTATACGATAAAATTTAATTTTACCTCCTCTTCCCTCGGTGACGGTTTGCAGTTCCAACGAGCGATCATCGCGAGTCGCGCGTATGATGCAATTTTTTTCATTATTCGCTGCACGTGCATCCACGACGCGCGCGCGACCAAAAAACTTTGCCACGGTTCAAGCGTGGGGAGAGGTGTTATTTTTTTTCTTGCCCCGCGTCGGACCTAATAGTTTTATTAATCCACTTAAAGCTCGGGCATCGTGCGGAGTCTCCTAAAGTGTATAATACGGACTGTTGCTCGAGCTTCCGGAAGGAAAAACTTTCCTCGCGTTCGCTTCTCTCTCTGTATTATATATATGGTATAGCCGTTGCGCAGTATATATAGCTCGCTATATGGGAGAACTTTTGCCTGCTCCTCCTCCTCCTCCTCCTCCTCCTCCGCCTCCAACGCGCTGTATTATATACACAATAACGCGCACAAATCATCGAGTTATGCGCGCGATGGTTGCTACACGCAGGCGAGAGTTTATATATATTATAAGGCGCGAGTCTCGGCGCGCAACTAGTCCTTCCCAGACCCCTTTGTGTGTGTGCATTATTATGACTACGCGCGAAAACGTGCTGAGCCATTGTTGCGCCGTCGTTATTATTATTATTGTTACACTGTGACTCGTTTAATAAATGCCGCGTGCCACCTCCAAGAGCTTGCGCGAGCTTTCAAATTCTATTGTCAGTTTTGCCGCTGCTACACTTACCGAACAGCGGCGCGCGGCTGTAAGGTATACATTTTGTTTCGAGTAGTCGAGCTTTAATTTCTCGAGCGCTTGGTATATATGTAATATAATTGACACGCGACGCGCGTGCCCCAGTGGATTAGCGTGCAAATAAGGCAGTGGCCGGCTTAATTATGAAATCGTAGACATTGTTTAACGCTTCCGGCCTCTTTTGCCCGTTCGCTGGGATTTGAGTACAGTTTTTTTTTATCGTCTTTACTTTAACTCCTACAATTATTATCGAAGCACGAGATCTCGTACTTTCTCTCTCGAGTGTGTTTGTGTACGAGTGCTTTCTTTTTTGCGTGTACAGCTCTCGAGTGGCTGGACAATTTGTTTGTAAAACTTAATAACGTCATTGCGATTTTTTAGCCCCGGCTCGTAGTACAGCCGAGACCATAAATATACGTGACTCGCACCGGCTTATATCGTGTGTATGCGCGCCACGAGCATAAAAATGGAAAAAAAGTTGCTGGAAAGAAAGAGAGGGGGAGTGGAAGCACGTGAATGTGTGTACACCGTGACGTTGCCGCCTCGTGCGGAAGCAAAATGAAATATACTTTTCGCGTGGTTTTCCACTAATCTTTTTCTTTCTCTACTGCGCTTGCAGGCCGCAAAATAAGATATTTGCTTTACCAAGAAATAAACAAAAAAGAAGCGAGTATGAGAAAAGGACGGCAGACATAAAAGTGCACCACGACCACCACCATCGCCGCTACAGCTCGTGATCTCTTAAATTGCCCCGTGCGCTTACTGCACACGGTTTACTCGTGAATCTTCGGACCAACTTTTTCCCTCCTCTCTCTCCTCCGCCTCAATTTCTTTACCCAAGCTGGGCGGAATATGAGAGAATGCTTAAAGTACCATATTTCTGCCAGGACAACAACGCTGCTCATTACCGCGTGCCTAAAATTCTCGCAAGGACTCGGGGAACGGGCCGCCCTTCATAATTTCTCGTTACAAACGGCCGGCGAGAGAAATTTTAATAGCGATTTCATAATTGTTGTCTGCGCTCCTAACGCAGACCTCCTTATACATGCCCCAGTAGCAGAACTTCATTACAAAAAGGACGAATCGCGCCCAGTCCGCAGCGCGCAGACTACTAATATGCGCGCCACGTATATAGCCTTGTCTTTCTCTCGGCTTTATAACTGGCGGAAGAGAGAGAGAGAAGCGAGAGAGACTCGTCGAGCGCCGCAGTAGATAAGGTCGACGTCTAGTCAGACGAGCTAACTTTTCTCCGATCTGCTCGAGCGAAAGAAATCTATATAGACAGAAGCAGAGAAAGAGAGCGAGAGAGGCAGATTGAGCTCGCTCGCTCATTCTCGAGGGGGGTGACGACTACGACGACGAAGGGTGAGCGGCAAAAGAAGCGAAGGCATTTGATATAACGTCGTTAGCGAAAACAATCAGAGAAAGGAGAGCGAGACGCCGAAGCGAAGCAGCTCGTGCTGCTACTGCTGCTGCTGCTACTGTGCGGCAATTTTAATAGTAGCTCACAAGCGCGCACGGCCCTGAGCGAACGAGGAAAATCGATTTTCGACACCTAGTCTCGCAGGAGAGCGAAACGAATGAAAAGCAGCTGCCAAAAATAAAAGAGCTACATTGAACTTATCGGTACATATATATATATAGCGTACCGGGGGCGCGCGGTGTGTTGAGTTATAAAGCTCTCGTGGGAGTTTTGCTTTGATTCCGAGACATGCCTTTTTACTCGACTCGCGAGCAGCAGCAGCAGCAGCAGTAGCTTTGCATATGTATTGTAATAAAGTGTACTCGAGTAGTCTCTCTCTCTCTCTGCACTACGCGCGTGGCAGTGTCGATTCGCCGCGCCGTGGAGGAAATCGATACCTTTACCGAATACGAGTACACGCGCGCGCGTCCGAGCTTATATACATATCCGACCGATTGATAAAGTATATACACGAGCGGGCGGGCGAAACGACCAATTGTATTGTAATTTATTCTCTTTGGCGTGCACGTACATTTGAGCTCGCGATACTATGGTACTATATATCGAATTACAATTCAATAAGTGCTCGTGCACGCTCGTTTCAGATTCAACTTTATTATTATGCATGGAATTCGGTAGCGAAAATAGAAGTATAAGAAAAATATTTGCTTTCAGGAGGATTGCCAGTGCCAAAAATAGTATAACCAGCTTCGAAGAAAGAGAGATCGGCTAGCAACGATGGACGATACGGAGCTCATCTCGGAAGTAAGTCGTGCATACGTAATTCGACTGTGTTTTTTTTAGAGTACACGCTATGATTAATACGTCAAACTAGCAATATAGCTCCTTGCATGAATGACCTCAGCAGTGCTTTATAACTATTCCTTTATTCGGGGCGAAAAAGTACTTTTAACTTTTCTACTTGGCGCGAGGCGCAGCCATTACCGCGCCCCGGCGCAAAGTAATTATGCAAAAATTCCTCATATACATAGCCGCCGAGCTCGCGACGCTTTCGAGATGCTACGCGCAGTTTCACGCCCCGCACACGCACACACAATCATCGCCGCGCATACACGCACGCGCGCGTGATATATATAAACCAAACGTATATATGTGCGCTGCAGAGGCACCACCGCCGCCGCCGAGGAAGCGCACGCGGGTATAATTATCACGCGTTGCACTAATTTCACTTTGTTACGATTACGCGCGGGGCTTTTATTTCGGGCTATTACATCTTAATGACAGCTGACACGCGCGCGAGAGAGACAGCAAGTTTTGTGCATTATAAAGCCGAGGATAGCTCTACGGGCTTCCTGAAATTTTTGAACGGGGCGCCATAGTCTCTCTCTCTCTCTTGACTTTTATACGGATCAACATTTTCGGCATAGCCGTCTGCTGCTGCTTCTGCCGTTAGCATTGAAAATTAAATGCCACGTACGCCGCTCGCGCGTGCAACTTTTCGATCGTAATTCGGTCGATAGTAATCTGCGAGAAAATTACACGGAGACTTTTGTTCTCCGCGTTCGTCGAGGCATCTGTGTTTCCTTTTTTCACCCCATCAAATTTTCATCGACTAATTTTCAAGCCGTCTATTTTTCGCGCGTTTCGTCCACGTCTCTGACTTCGGCGCGTGATTTTATCTCGCAACATCGAAATAGATCCATTAATACTACATTATTTTCGACGAAAATAAAAGAGGCGTACAGACGAACGAAAAAAAAAGCTTCCATAAAGGTCCGTCGTCTATTTTCTCTCACATTCCAATTCCACTCGGTCTATATGCTTAACCCCTCGTTTCAGTCTTCCTCTGGAAAAAAAATATATATAAAGAGAAGGAATCCGAGTAGTGTATATGTTTATGTTGTACCTTATTCCTCCCTCTAGTCTCGTTATGATCATTTCGAGAAATCGAATCAGCAGTATCGTATTTCTGGCGAAGCACAAAGTAAAGGAAAGAAAAAAAGGGGAAATCCTCGGCCATTTGTTAATTCTCCGATTTGCCTTATCTAGGATTTCACAACAAGCTACATTCACGCGCGCGGCTCTTTCCATTTTATGCCTCGAGCATGCTCGACATAATTTGAGATTTTTTCCCTGCTTTTTTTTCATTTTTTGTAAAAAAATGTTTTTTTTATTTTTCGACAAAAAATCGGCCCTGTAATTGAACATTAAAATTATTTATTATATTTTATTGATATGTATAAGAATCTATTCAACCGATGTTACAGGGAGTATTTTGAAGTACTTAGCTTAAAATCCAAAAAACTTCCTAGGAGAAATCTTCGCTTAGTTATAATTTGAAACTGGTTCAAATATTGTAAAGACAATGTATAAACAGATAAATCTGTAAATTGATTGATTGTAAACATTGTTGCCATAAACGATTTCGACATTGTCCCTCGACACACTGATCATATTTATTGTGAAAACAAATTAGTTTGAATGTTGTCTTTCTCAAGAAAACAAGTCATAACACCGAAACAAATTTTACTCAATCAATTTTCATGGTACTAAATAGAAAAATACATCGTTGAATTTAAACATCAAAATGGATCAAAATGAGATGAAATCCGAGGAAGCCGGTTCGAATGATAATTCAAGTGAACATGACATTATTCATAATGAACAAAAAGATTACTCATGCGACAAGTGCGAAGAAAAATTTGAGTTCCGCAGTTATTTGAGTAGACACCAAATATCAGTACACAAAAGTCGCAAAGAATTTGCATGTGACAAATGTGAGAAGAAATTTGTGAACAAATCAGGTTTGTTTTCGCACCAAAAATTAAAATACAAAAATGGCCAAGATTTTTCATGCAACAAGTGCGAGAAGAAATTTGAAAATGAGTCACATTTATCCAAGCACAGAAAAATATTCCACGAAGTTTTCAAAAATTACTTATGTGAATTGTGCGCGAAGAGATTCGAAAATAAACATAGTTTGCTTGTGCACCAAAAGACAGTCCACGAAGGTCGTAAAGATTTCACATGCGACAGGTGCGGAAAGAACTTTGGACAAAAATCAAATCTGCTCATCCACCAAGAGGCAGTACACAAAGATCACAAAGATTATCCATACAAGAAATTCAAGCACGAACCTCAAAAGATTGTACACAAACGTCATAAAGATCACATATGCAACAAGTGCGATAGGAAATTTGGACGAATAGGGCATTTGCTGTCCCACCAAAAAATAGTCCACGAGGGTCGCAAAGATTACACATGCGACAAATGCGAGAAAAAATATACAGCGCAACCGAGTTTGCTCTCCCACCAAAGGACAGTCCACGAAGGTTGTAAGGATTTTGCATGTGACAAGTGCAAAAAGAAATTTGGACTAAAATCAACTTTAGTTTTGCACCAAAGGACAGTACACGAAGGTCGGAAAGATTTTGCATGTGATAAGTGCGAGCAGAAATTTGGACAAAAATATCATTTGCTCCGCCACCAAAATACAGTTCACGAGGGTTGCAAAGATTACGCCTGTGACAAATGCGAGAAAAAATTTGGAGTAAAATGTAATTTGCTTACCCACTTAAAGACAGTCCACGAAGGATGCAAGGATTTTGCATGTGACAATTGCGAGAGAAAGTGTGGAAGTAAATCTGAGTTATTGAAGCACCAAAAGAGAATCCACGAGGGTCGAAGAGATTTCGTATGCAACAAGTGCGAGAAGAAATTTGGAAGTATTTCAGATTTGTTGAGGCACCAAAAGACAATACACGATGGTCGCAAAGATTTTTCATGCGACAGGTGCGAGAAGAAGTTTGGAGAACGAAGCTCTTTAATCAAACATCTAAAAACAGTCCATGAAGGTCGTAAAGATTACACATGTGACAAGTGTGAGAAGAAATTTGGAGCAAAATGTAATTTGCTCACCCACCTAAAGACAATCCACGAAGGTTGGAAAGATTTTGTATGTGACAAATGCGAGAAGAAGTTTGGATACAAATGGAATTTACTTTTGCACATAAATAGAGTCCACGAGGGTCGCAAAGATTTTGCATGTGACGAGTGTGAAAAAAAATTTGGACTCAGATTCGATTTATTGAAGCACCAAAGGACAGTACATGAAGGCCGAAAAGTGTGAGAAAAAAATTTTCACAAAAACTGAATTTTCTCACTCACCTGAAGACAGTCCACGAGGGTTGCAGAGAGTACACATATAAGTAATTGCTCCAGTGTGGCGAAACCACGTATTTTATCAAATTTGACTTTTAGCTAAAAAAAGAGTGCGCTAAAATTCACAGAAAACACCTATCGAAAAATTCTGGAAGTGTCTTTCAATAAATTTGACCGATCATAAATGAGATATTTACATAATACGGGAAGAATTTGAGTACCTAATATAATATGTATATGATATCTAATTTGCATTTCTTAAATTATAAATACTAGTTGTATATTTTTTTTATAATCATAATCTTTATTTGAAGTACCTCTAATAGTACACTTCATATCAGCATGCTTATTCATAATATTGTTACACCGAATTATTGTTAAGAGTAAAAGAAACTTGAACTAAATAAATAATCTCAAGCTGGTTTATCCGAACATGCACGTGAAGCCATATGAGATCGGACCAACTTTTGAATACGTTGTTAAGTTGCGGAGCCGTAGGAGATGTTTCGGATGCAGTATAGAAAGCGAGAAACGACTGATCTCGAGAAATCTTAAATTCGCAGTTTGATAAGTAAGAACTAATGCCAACAGTTAGCTAATGCACACGAGATACACTCCCTCATCTATATATCCTACTGTATCAATGCTCGAAGAAGCCTAGCAGTTTACGATCTCCGCATTTAAACTTCATTCGTACATCATTTTTTTTTCTTATGAAAAAGCAAACGTCGAGCTTCTTAGGTGCATATGATATTTGTCGTCGAATTGGAAAGAAGAAGTTATTTGCCGTGACGTAGATTACGTTTTAACAATTTTTTCTTTTGAACGCGCGGCAGATCAAAGAAATATGCGCGTCGCGCGCGCGCCCGACATTCGAGTTGGCTCGTATCAAATTCACATTATACACGTATACGCGCGCAAATAACGTACTTTACATCCAATATACGAATATAATATTTATTACGATTTCTTTTCAAAGTTATAGGTACGTAACGCGCGTGGAAGCGCGTGAATCTCATGAATTTGGCGCGTCAATCGATTTCGATTGTGCCGCTCACACCCGTTAAAAATATTGCTGCATCGCGCCCCGAACTCGAAATCGTTTCTCGAACATCCACTGCATATTCGGGTGTATACAATACGTATAGTACAGCTTCGCTCATACATCACGCCGTGCGGGGTGCATTAGGTGGCCTTACCCATACGCCCTCGAGCTTTACCCATACATACACATACACACACACGTATACACAGGCCGTGACGCACAATAACGTCACGATGGATTAATCCTAAAATTACTCGTATTAATTTGCCCTCCTGCATCGCTAAATATAAACCCAATCTTAATCGATATATCGGCCCTGGCGGCCAGTACCTGTATGAAATACCATAGATAATTAATTTTTAAATAAAAATAAACGAATTCTCGACGCGAATTTCATACGTGCGAACCCCTCCGCGCAACTCAGTTCCGTTACATCGTAACAACGATCCACTCGCACGCGCGCGAGAGCTTTTATAATTGTGCCTGGATGACGCGCGTGGATATACATACTCTAATACCCATATATATTCTCTGAAAATATCATCCATGAACGCACGTGCGTCCAATCAAATTGCGTAAATTGCGCTTACAGCCATCC